GTGGCCGGCACTCGAGAACCATTGCTGGCTCCAAGCGAACCCTTGGCCTGGCTCAACTCTCAGCGGAAGACTTACTCAAAAGATAAACTTTATTTAAAGTCTTAAAATGAATAACTCATAATTGTGTTAAAACATTCACTAGCCAAAAGACACAACTCAAGTCTAGAACATTAACAAAAGAAAATGAAACAGACTTCTCAATACTCTACTATCTATGAAGCCTCTACTAACTGAGATGGACGTCGGGACAAGCCCCACGACATCCTAATAAACAAACTAAAATGCAAACTCAATGTGAAATCCTCCGGAAAGTAAGGAGGTTCACCAAATCTAGCTGGAACTCAACTGGATCAACGAAGCGCTGGTTGATGATCTTGGTTACATGTATCTGCATCATCAAAGATGCAGGCTGTAACACCTTGGATCTCAAAATAAAGAAAAATCCTAATTTTTAGAAAATTGGTGTCAGTACCGACGGAACCACCCATGGACCATAGGTGGGACCACAGACCGTACGTGGGGTTTCGTCTTTAAGGCCCAAATCTTTATAGTCTCTGATCCCACCCACGATCAACCAGTACGGTCTGTGGTTGGACCTACGGACCGTAGATCGATCGTAGGTGCGGGTCGACAGCCAGTTAGAGGGAAATTATTATTGGGTCAACTTCAAATGGTCATAACCCTTAGCACAAAAGGAATTAGGTAGCCCATGACCCCCACCAAATGATAGATAATTGAATCATCTTTCCAACGCCACCGAGTTTATTAAAATCCCATCTCCGAGTAAAGAGTTATGCTCATTTTAGTGCAGCCTTGTCAGGCAGACTTGACCGACGACCCCACCTACGGTTGGTAGGTTGACCTATGACCAGTAGGTCCCTCCGTGGGTGGCCTTTGGTAGCTTTTAAGTTTGGGTCATTTAGGTCTTTTTCCTATGCGTTGGGCACTTAAACTTCGTCGTTTTATGCCTAAACTATGTCGTTTTACTCATTAAGCCTAATAACTTAGTCAGACATACCCAGAACCTTTATTCATCAAAAATCATTCAAATTTGGAGCAAAAAGAAGGGGGAAAAATTGACCAAACCTCCCAAGAACAAGCCGCAGTATTCTTCAAGTTTCAACCCCAAAATCGAAGGATTTCTCCGTAGATTTCGTCACCAGGTATGTGGGATTT